ATTCTCGCTTAGTTCTGCCAAGTTTCAGTTCATCGATTAGGCTCGAAGATCTCGTAAATTCAACCAGCAGGAAGCGACTAGGAAAGAAGAATACTTTGGGCAATTACAATTAAGATTTAATTATGATTATTGGAGAAGTGATTGATAAATGTATTACATGTTTTTTGTTTAGCGTTTTCTGAAACGGTTATTAGTTATAGATGAGTTCTTGTAATGGGTCGGCATTAATGTTCACTTAGCTTTTAAGACAAAAAAAAAAAAAGAAATCATTCAATTAAAAAACATCAACCAATAACTAATTTGACATTTTTAGGTGATTAAATTAATTAATAACCCTATGCGTGTTATTGCAAATCCCCTTACCGAAATCATGAATCAGAAACATACGTTATAATAGCTGCAAAACATATATTGTTTATAATAATAATGATGATGATGATGATGATAATAATAATGTATAGACACATATTTGCCTCTCTAGTTAATTACTCACTAATTTGATATAGTAAATTAACGAAAATATATTTATATATTACAAGTATTCAAATTTGTTTGTATATTTGATAATTTAATTTTTAAATAAATATTGAGAAAATGAAAAATATGAAGAAAATTGTAAGAAAAATCTAGCGTGCAAGTTTTGTTCTTCCGTAACGTTTGTACTATTGTAAACCATATGTATATATGAAATTTTCATTCGATATCTACTACAAGAAATGCGTTTTTCTAGTAATTGCGGTTAAAACAATCTAATTCTTACCGTATATGAAACTATTATTATATATTCACATATTCAACAAAAATATCTCGTAATAATTTTGGACTGTCGGTAAGATTATTTTCAAAAAGACTATAATAATGGTTGATTTGACATTGGACAGTTATTTGTATGGTTTGATTGAACATTTTCAATACATAATTTGTCCATGATAAATCTTCAATCGGAGTCCACCAATTAAAAGATCGGCATCATCATCATCATCATCATTATATAAATGCATGCTATCTTTTAAAAATATTACATATATTTTCAATATTCTTCGTTATAAATAAACATAACTTCATCTTCTTTCCATGAAAATCCTGATGTTAAAAACAAATTTAGACTATTTGTACTTAAGGAAAAAGAGACTAAACACATTGAAATAAGGGTAGGTTTTGGTATTTGTTTCAACGTTCGGTTCTATAAAAATATGTATCAATAGTTTATTATAATATTTTATTTATTTCGGTTTTTATTTTTATTAAAAAAAGTATCTTTTAAGAAATTTTTGATTTCTTAGATTTTTAAAAATTCGGATATGTTCGATTTGATTGTATAAAATTTGGTTCTATAGAAGATACTTCAAAAATTTTAGACGGTTATAGGTTTGAGGACTGTACCAAATTTCGGTACAATTTGATTGCCAAGAAACATATCTAAATATCTATCCTTACTTTGAAATATACGATATAAAAACAATTTATGATTGTGTGTTAAAATATATTAATTTCATTTATTATAACAATTATTTTTTTGAAATTAAAAATACTCTCAAATATAAAAAAAATAGTAAAATCACAAAAATAAACACAAAACTATTTAGATGATAATATTTTTAAATTAAAATTGAATAGTGAGCTCAAATATAAACTGAATTAAATAATAAACTGACATATAAAAAAAAAAGAATACTTGCTATTCTTCTAAATATAAAAACTAAATTCCAAAATAATTAACAAAGCAATATAACCAAAGTTCCAAACATCCGTCCTCTGAATTAAGATATTACAGTATGATAAGTACTTGCTCGAATTTTAAGCCTACTAATAAAAATGATAATAATAAGATATAAATCACGATGAATGAAGATGAAATAAAAAAGAAACTTAAATTACAAGAAAAGGAACGAAATTAAATTTTTTTAGGTATAGAAAAAGATCCAATGTACATAAAAATGATGGTCGGAGTGAAGATTTGTCTCCAAGAAAGAGGGACAAAAGTAGGTCCCACTTGTTGCTATTGGTGTCTCTCCCGCGCCTTGTCACGTGATTCTCGCTCCTTTTGTCCCTGCACTCACGTGCCAGCGCATTTTTGTAACAGTCGTAAAAGATTATTATTTTTAAATTCCGTTTTTTCTTTTATTTGAACTAAAATTCCGCTACTTGAAATATTCGATATTTATATATGATCTAAAATCATATAAATTATTTCGTAAAAAGAAATCATAACTTTGAATATTACATCACTCTATATATACATACACACATTAACCACATCTACAAATTTTATTTAATGTGAATGTTACTATTAAAAAATAAATGTGATATTTTTTTAGAAGCACCAATAATTTTTAAATATATGTATATTTTAAAGAATTGAGGTTTTTAAAATCATATATATATATATATTTGAATTACAAATCAGATAAAAATTAATAAGAAATTAGTTTTTGTTATAATTTTTTTAAAAGGTAAATAAATTAATGAGAAAAATGCAAGAGTAGACAAAGAGAAATAAAAAATAGCATAGGAAAAGATAGGATGTCAAAATCAGAAAACAAAAAAAAAAATCAAAATAATGAAAGGCTGTTCAATTATTGCAGTGATTCCTAACGCATGACGACCATTTTTCCCACGCGCATGGGACCGATAAATAAAACAAATTGATACACATGACCACGAGATATTATTTCACCCAATAATAAATAACAATAATAAATGCAATTTATGGTACGACATAATCATATACGACTTTTACTAACGCATAAGATCTTTATAAAGTCTTTTATTATAATAATGGTCGATCCAGTCCGTCTTTGAATTCTCATAAACCTTAAGTTATTCCAAGAACATATTAGTTTTATTAATTGCTCTATTAAACGGAGGTTAATGTATTGTCCAAACGTAAATATATAATTCAAAAATAAAGTAGAATGGTTTATGTGACTAATTCACCAAATAACAATTAAACTCGACAAATAGTACTATCTATATATATATTTTTTTAAATTTTGATTCATATGAAAATATTTAAAAAATTATAATATTTTTATTATTCAATGTATAGTATATAGTAATCTATGATTTGTTTTTTAATTATCAAAATTATAAAAAAAGAGTATATTTCCTAAACATCTATTTCGAATGCAAGTTGCCACCAAAAGAAAAGACGGACGTTTAATAATAATAACAATTGTAAAAATCCCAAACTTAACAATATAATTCAGTTTATCGTGGACCGCCATGATGGCAAATAATATATACTTTGTGCTTTTGTAACGTTTTTGGTCAAACTAAGAAAATAAAACACTAATAATATGACAATATAAGATAAAAATGAAATTATGGTTATTAGTTATTAGCATTATTACAAATCATGATTGTGATGTTTGTGGCCCCTTTATTCGGTTAGGCATTGGGACATAATTATTTAAGCAACATTTTCCTTTCTATGTAATTAAATGATTTAATCATAAGGGTCGAATGAATTGATTTAGTCACGCCTTTCTCATTGAGACTTGTGGGACAAATAATTGCTCCCTGTACGCAATTTCCGGGGGAAAAAAATGAAAATATAAACGAAAAGATTAAAAAGAATAGTAATTTTTTATAAAAAAAAAAAGAATAGTAATTCTCTTATGGATATTTTTAGTGTGTTTTATTTTAGATAAAATATAACTTTTAAATTTTCTATTGTATTTTGGTTATTTTTAGATTTTGTATAAATGCGATTTTTATTGAAAAAATATTGTCACCCATATTTCATTGATTTATCTTTTTTATTATACTTAAATCAGATTTAATAAATTTTCATCATTTCAGGAATCCAAGAAATCAATGAAAATTTATTCTTGAATTCACAAGGTATTTTTTTTTAATTTTTTTATCAATTATTTTTAATTTTTTAAGAATATATTCAATCAATATTTTAGATTCAGTTTCAATATAATTAAATAGTATTCAAATCAATTAAATTCATTTAAAAATACAAGACCCTAATAACTTCTAGGTCACTAAACATTCCTCTTCCTCTTTCGTTTTTCTTTCAAAAGTCAAATATTCAAAACCCATCATTCCTATTAGTAGTTAAAATAATTAACGTTTGACCAAATATTCGTTTGATTAGTCAAACTTTAAGGTCGTCAGTGATTTTCAAAAAAAATAATATCACCATTTCTATGGTCGTCATATTGGAATTCTCCATTTTAAGATTTACACGAAATATAAAAATCTTATAGCAAACTAAATTATATTTTATAGTTTATATGCCTTTGGAAAAAATCCCCCATTTAAAAATAAAATCTACAGACCAGTTCGAACCTAGGATTATTTTGATAATTACTACTCCCTCCGTTTCAAAATATTTGTAGTTTTAGTTTATTTTCCATGTTTCAAAATATTTGTCATTCTACATTTCCAAGATAGTTTTTTACAATAGTTTCCAATTTTATCCCTCCCAAATTCCAATAAATTATTAGTGATAACATTATTTTTATCATTAAATAAGGTTATATGTGTCTTTTTCTCTATTTTCTTAAAAAATGTGAAAAATCCTAAAACTACAATTAATCTGAAACGGAGGGAGTAATAAAAGTTGCTCTGATTCGAGTTTATAGCAATTAAAATCCCATCAATTTAAGAAAATGCATTTATTATATCAATGCACAAATACACGGTATACACCTAAACACATGGTCAGATTTAGATAAGTAATACCTCCCATACCACTAAAATTTGTCTTAATTATTTAAATTAATTTTAAAAATAATATAAATTTAAATTATAAAAATAATAAAACCTAAAATTAATTAGATATATATTTTTTAATAAAACCAAATTAATGCCTCTATTTTATTATTATTATTATTATTATTATTATTATTATTATTATTATTATTATTATTATTATTCACGTGTGTTTGTCTGTCTATCTTTATATCTCCGTTTCAAGCTCCCATAATAACAATACATAATAAATTTATTTTAAAAAACCCTTCAAATATTCCCAAAAGAAAAAAAAAAGCTCTAGCCTCTCTCTATACGTTTACAATAAAAACTCCATCCCACAAGAAGTTTTCTCTCTCTCTCTCTCTCTCTCTCTCTCTCAGTCCTTTATCTTCTTCCTCTTCTTATTCTTCTCCTTTCTATAAGGCATGGAATTGGCCTTGTCTCTCGGAGACAGTACGAAACAATACTTCCCATTTCTTGACAAGCAACCGACGACGATGATCGATCCTTCATCGTCGTCTTCGGACAAGGATCTAGGGTTTTGCATGGGTTTAGATGTGGGTTTTGGTCGGGGATCATCATCGTCATCATCGTCGGAGGGGGAGAAACCGGCACCACCGAAATATTCAGACAGATTTAGGGTTTCTTCGACCACAGATCCGCCATTAAAGCTTGATCTCCGTCCTTTCTCTCCTGTTCCTCGTTCTAACCAGCTTCATTTTCCTTGGCCACCGGAAAACGGTACGGATAACATATGAGCTCATTGTTTACGCTTTTGGATAATGAATCTTTCTTGTTCATACAATGTCTTAATAAATCTCAAACACATGGTTTGAATCATAACGTAAGAATCGGATTATACGAAATTATCTATGAAAACGAAGACGGGTTTCTCAGGGGGGAGCAGAGGAGGAAGAAGAGTAGAGACCAGCAAGCTCTGTGAAACCCTAACCCTAACGGAAGAGGAGACTGATCATCGCCATTGTAGCGTAACATCGTCGTCGTTTTGTTTGGATTTCGGGATAAGGAGCGACGGGAAGAGGGAGGAGATGGAGAGATCAGCTTCGAGGGCGAGCGATGAGGAAGAGAACGTTTCTTCAACCCGCAAGAAACTGAGGCTCTCCAAAGAACAATCTGCTTTTCTCGAAGAGAGCTTCAAAGAACACAGCACCCTTAATCCTGTAAGTTGTTCTCAAGAATTGTATTGTATACACACAAAAGTACGTATGTATATACATGTTAGTGTATATCTCACATATACATGCATTGGTCAAAGGGGAAGAAAATAAGAAACTATGTATAAATTAAGGGTATGTATTAGTTAACAAAAAAAAAATTAAGGGTATATATTAGAATTCTTTTGGAAATGATCAATTGCGTTACTTGACCGATTGATATTTCTGGTTTGATCCAAATGTTTCACATAAATACGATATAAGAGCAAAATATTATTATCATAATTATCTAAATAGCTTTACATTCGTGTGTGTATACACACGGGATCTATGCGGAAATGTTATCCGATATCGTTCGGACTTCAATTTATATATATATAGAGGCGGACCTACTTGTACACTAATGGAGTCATAGGCCCATTTGTGTAATTAATTTTTTTCTCTACTAATTTTATCAAATATTGATTAAAATTGTATAATGCCCCATAATAAATACCATATTTGACAATATATCCTAGGTCCGCTACTATATATATATATATATATATATATATATATATATATTTGTGTGCCTCCCAAGTTCATTTTTCTTTTAGGACAATATTTTTTTTTGGTATGAGACAATATTGTGAAATATGTATTAATTGTTTTATTTTTATAAACAAAAAAAAACGTTGCAGACACATAAGCTTGCTTTGGCGAAGCAATTGAACCTTCGTCCTCGCCAAGTTGAAGTCTGGTTCCAGAACAGAAGAGCAAGGTTAGCTTACAATCTTGAATCTTGCATTATTGAATTTCTGAAACGGAAAAAAAAAAATCCAAGTTCATATGCTTTCCCTAGAGAATGATGAAACGATCGAGGACGAAAAATTATATATATATAGACACATACACACCCTGTCTTTATACAATACCATAAGTTCATGTGTATATGTATATATGGATGGATCTGGTTGCATAGTGATGGATAAATATATATGTGTGTAGGCAGGGGCGGATCCACATGTATTGGTGTGGGGTCCCATGCCCCCATATATTTTGCCAAAAAAAATTTATTTATTTGTAATAGTTATAAAATTTTGATAAAAAATATCAAATGCCCCCATTTAATTTTTTGTTTTGCCCCCTCTCCTCTCATTCTTTTTTTATTATTTTAATTTTTTTTCTTTCTAAATATTAGATATTGTTAAGCTTTTTTCTTAAACTTAATTTCCATATTTTTTTTGTTTTTCTCTCTCAATTTTCTAAAAAAATTTCAAATTTAATATTAAACACAATACAAAAAATAAATTAAATTAAATTAAAAATACGTCAAAGTTACAATTTATTTTATCGGAAATTACATATTTTAAAAAATTATAAATAAAATTATTATAGATAAATTTTAAAAAATAAAAAATCATAGAATTTAGTAGTAAAATATAAATATTATTTTGACAGTATATTTTATTAATTTTTGATCTATTGTTTATTTAATATTTTAGAGTAAACGTTTTGGTACGATTTTATAATCGAACCGTACAAAACTGAACAATACGATATTTTATTTAATTCGAACGGTACTATTTTTAGAAAACCAAATTTATTGATATGAATCGAATTTTTAAAAAACCTGATAAATAATTTTTTTTAATAAAACATCACATACATTTTTTTAATAAAAACCGAAACCAAACCGAACTGAATATGATATTGTAACCGATTGATACATATTTTTCTAAAATCGAAAGATTCGAACCGATCTATTTCTAAATCGAATATCGAAACGGTCGTCTATTGCCCCCACTAACATTTTTTTCTGGATCCGCTACTGTGTGTAGGACAAAGTTGAAGCAGACAGAAGTGGATTGTGAATACCTAAAGAGATGCTGTGAGACACTGACAGAAGAGAACAGGAGATTACAAAAGGAGCTCCAAGAACTAAGGGCCTTGAAGTCTTCAAGACCTTTCTACATGCAGCTTCCCGCCACCACTCTCACCATCTGCCCTTCTTGCGAGCGCGTGGGCTCCACTGCCACCGCCGCCGCACCGCCCTCCGGCTCAAGCCCCGGCCTTGCCACGTCTTTGAGCCGGCCGGCCAAGTCCCAAGTGGCAGACCAAGTCTCGTGAGGTGAGATCTTGTTGGAACAACAAAAGAGGGTATTATTACGTTGGAGAGTTTTTTTTTTTATTTTCTTTTTTTCCATATTTGTTAATATATATATTTACTTTCATTTATTTGGAATACAACGTGATGTCTCCATTTTTATTTTATGATATTATCAGAAGGGTAAAAGAAAAAGAGAGAGGAACTCGTTTGATAGAATAACTACACTAAAAAGGTTTTATTTTCAAATTGTTGATAAAAGAGAAATGGGATTCTCATCTCAAATATTTGGTTTACTGTTTTGGTTCCAAGTTAAAATCAGTTCACATTCAGTGTTTCGTGTTAAAAAAATCCTCTTCCTCCCTCTGACTCGTCGAACCAGATCAAAATTTATATGAAAATCGAATGATTATAGTTTTTCTGCAACCGAAATAACCGAAATGATTATCGTTTTTCTATAACCGAAATAATCAAACCCGAATAACCGAACCAAAACTCAAAATAACCACCGCTACGAGCGCACCACCTCATTGTGAAGCAAGCAACAATAGGGATGTCAATTTGGGCTCGAGACCCTAGGTCCAGCCCGACCCAGTCCGAAAATTAGCGGACTTCGAACATAAATTTTTCGACCCCAAAAAAATTGGGCTGTCGGACCGGATTCGAATCGAGTTTCGGATTCGAATCGGGCAGCTCGAAAGCCTGATATCTTTTAAAAAAAGAAAAAAAAAATAAGATTTATAAAGAGATTTATGTGGACCGACCTGACCCGACCCTAGAATATGTAGGGCAGGGCCCGAAAAAAATAGAGCCAACCCAAGCCCGAGCCCAAAACTTTCGGGTCGAGTGTGGACTCGGACCGGGTCAGGTTAGGCCGGCCCGATTGACACCCTAAGCAACAACATGATGATACCAAATATAAAATGGCCAAAAAGCATTGACTGTCTTTACCATTTTGGATTTCTTAAAAGATCAAGAAACAACATTGTTATTAGATGCAAACCACAACGCAAATGCAAGACCGATAGAAAGAGAGATTCATCGCCAGACTTCCGACGGCACTTTCCAAGAGAGATTTGGTTCATGGAAATGCAGGACCCCAAGAATATGAAAGCGTAGACTTGGAATGGATGGAAACCCTCTCCTCCATTCGAGGGAGGAAGAAGAAAGTTTCTAACTTGGAACCAAAACAGCAAATCATATTCCAAAACCGAAAACCGCACGAATCCTCTGGAATATCAGATCCCTCCATCCTCTCTCAGTGTTCTCCGCCACAGTTGCGTTCCCGTATCTGAAATATGCCGTGGCCATATTCGGTAATCAACAATTAAGAAACAAAATCCACTGGCGGAACAAAAAAGAAACTGCAGGGGGAATTGCCCATCTGACAAGAGAGTTTCAGACAGATAGTTCAACTCAAACACAACCTCTTCTTGGCTTCACATAACAAAGGAATCAGAAAGGCTCAACCTTTTCGTTCATATTCAGATACTACGGAACACCCTTATCGTTCCAAATCAACAATGTGGGCAGCGGATCGAAACAAACTGGCATGAACATTCTATCAATCGGGCAAACATGTTGATCATGATCATAATTAAGCAAACTTTCAAGAATCAAGCTTAATAATGGTTAAGGGTCTAAAGTTCCAAGAATCCAAGTTCAGACTGAGCAGCCATAGATTCACTAAAACTGACCTGTCTTCTTCAGGAATATCGGTGTGAATTAGCTTGACAATGGTGACCCCTGGTTCAGGCTCCTCCAAAGTGAGCTTTACCTGAAACATCAATGGAAGCAAAACGCATTGAGAAGTTATACCCCAATCAACACAGGAAGCATTGAATTGATTGCCAATATCAGAACAATATCCTTACGGTTGAATCGAGGCCATCAGGCCAGCTTCCGAACCGCCATTTTTGGACGATAAGTTTGCCTTCTTCAAGCTCCAAATTCGTCCCCGTGACCGATCCGTCGAACACACTGATCTGCCCACCAACTTCTCTGCTGATCTTGGCATTGCTCTGTGTAAAACCCTTCCATCGATTCTCATCCATCAAAATCTCATACATATCCTTAGCTCTGCAGTTGAATTTCTCGGTCAAAGCAATCGTCTTGAAACCCTTCTTCTCTTCCTTCTCCTTCTTCTTCTTCTTCTTCTCCGCCGCTGCCACCGGATAACCACCACTGTCCTTCTTCGCTGCCGGAGCTGCAGATTTCGGTGCTACCTTCTTTGCCTCTAGCTCGTCCTTGCACGGACCCCCTTTCGCCATGCTCTCAACATAAACCCTAACTTTCTCCAAAATCAACGGTTTCCCCTTTGCCGCCATCGCCTCCTTCAACGTTTTCCCGATCGGTCCTTCGTCCTTCACCGAGAACCTGATCTCTGGATCCTCTCCGGCGTTCTCGTCGGAGATGTACGGCATCTCCACCAACCCTTCGGCCTTCAAAAGTGTCTTCTCTTCCGAATCCTTCGCCTCACCTTCCCACGACGCCGAAACGCTGAGCTCATAGCCGGGAATGATTTTTCCCTTCCGTACATTGACGTAGGCCTCGCCGTCGACCTTCTCGATCCGCTTGATCTTCAGGAAGAGGTTCCCTTCTCCAGCGAGAACGACGGCGCCGGAGAGATGCTTATTGAAGAAGCTCCGAGACCATTCGAGACAGTTGGTCTCCGCCCAGTGCCAGTTGTGCACGTTGGTTCCGTCGGATCTCTCCTCCACGATCCACCGCTTGTCGCCTTCGCCGAACTTCGCCATTGCCGGACTGTAGGGAACCCGAGAATTCTTCTTCTGGGTTTGGGGGAAGAGAACGCAAAGCAGAGGATTCAGATCGAAATCGCTGAGATGACCGAGGACGACGAAGATAAAGACGAACACGAAGGCTCAAGAGAAGATTTGCAGATTGAGAAAAGGAGAAATGGAGGAGAAATTTATCGATTTTGAGCAGTCATTGTAGAAGTTTCCAGAGACTGTGCTTCTAGGGTTTTCCTATCCCCAAGAATTTGGTAATACGGGGTAAGAGAAAAGTACCCAAAATTATTGGAAATTGGAACCAAGTTAACGGAAATAAAGACAGGATTATATGAAATGTGGAGAAAAAGAGGAAGAAAAAAGGGGTTGAAAAAGAATTGTTGGGAAATTAGAGTAAAAGAATATGAAAATAAATAAGAAATATTGATAATATTAGTTTTTATATATAATATCAGATACAGATACAGAATAAGAAAAATGAAAATTTTACGGGTGAAAATTGGAAAAATGTAAAAGAATTAAAACTGGAATTACACAAAATGTTGAGAAGATAAAAAAACAGAGAAAAAGAAATTATTGGAAATTTAAGTGGATAAAAAGGAAAAAATGGAAATATTAAAAATGTCAACAATAATATATATATATATATGAGGTAGATTTTGTAGTCTATTAACGAAACGAGTAAGGAGAAAGAAAAACATATATAGTGAAAAAATGAGCCTCATTAGTAAATATTATTTTGTTTCTTTTCAATTTTCAATTTAATTTTTTGTTGATATAATTATTGTTGTTGGATTTTTTTTTGGTGAAAATAGAGATATAGTTGGTCTTGAATGGAGAGAGTTTTTTGAGTTTTTAGATTTTAAAAACTCAAAAAATTGCCAATCAAGTTTTTTAAATTTGATTTTACTAAAAACTAGGAAAACTGCTTTATAAAAAAAATGAACTAAAAATTAAAAGCTACATTTTTTTGGATTTACAAATCTATAAAAACTAAGGCTTTGAATGGAGATGGCTTTTATTTTGGGTTTTTGGTTTTAGTTTTTGGATTTTGGTTTTTAGTTTTTGGTTTTTGGCTTTTGGATTTTATAATATTTGAAAATTCAAAAAAAGTAGCTTTTGGTTTTTCATTGATTTTTTCACTAAAATGGCTTTCCAAGTTTTTAGGAAAAGTAATTTTGTAAAAACTTGAATGTTGTTTTTTTTGGTTTTTGGATTCTAAAAACTCTAAAAACTCCTACCATTCAAGACCTAAGACTTTGAATGGAGATGGCTTTTATTTTGGGTTTTTGGTTTTAGTTTTTGGATTTTGGTTTTTAGTTTTTGGTTTTTGGCTTTTGGATTTTATAATATTTGAAAACTCAAAAAAAGTAGCTTTTGGTTTTTCATTGATTTTTTCACTAAAATGGCTTTCCAAGTTTTTAGGAAAAGTAATTTTGTAAAAACTTGAATGTTGTTTTTTTTGTTTTTGGATTCTAAAAACTCTAAAAACTCCTACCATTCAAGGCCTAAAAGTCAAAAACCAAAAACTAAAGGCTTTGAATCACATTGGTTTTTATTTTTGGTTTTTTACTTTGGCTTTGAATGGAGATGGTTTTTATTTTGGGTTTTTGGTTTTAGTTTTTGGATTTTGGTTTTTAGTTTTTGGTTTTTGGCTTTTGGATTTTATAATATTTGAAAACTCAAAAAAAGTAGCTTTTGGTTTTTCATTGATTTTTTCACTAAAATGGCTTTCCAAGTTTTTAGGAAAAGTAATTTTGTAAAAACTTGAATGTTGTTTTTTTTTTGTTTTTGAATTCTAAAAACTCCAAAAACTCCTACCATTCAAGGCTAGTTTTTGGTTTTTGGTTTTTGGTTTTTAGTTTTTGGTTTTTGGCTTTTGGATTTCAAGTTTGTAATGGTATGGGAGGAGTTTTTCCAGGTTTTAGATATTAAAAACCAAAAATTTCCCGGTCAAGATTTTTTTATTTTAGTTTTCCTAAAAACCCGCTAAACCACTTTTGGAGGAAAGCTACGTAAAAGCTAAAAACTAATATTTTGTAGATTTTAGAAGGTTGTTAGTAGATTTTTTATTTTTTATTAAAAAATAATTATATAAATTATCCTAAAGACAAAAATGTCCATTATTTTAAAAATAATTTTATATTATACCTATGTCTATATAAATACCATATTCTTACCATTTTTACCATAACTCATATTTGAAAAAGTTTTTATAAAAGAACAAACTTACAAGAGGTATGTAATTCAAAATCTTTATTCAAAATATATATTATAGTCATCTTATATCTATAGTTATATATATACATATACATATATATTGAAACATTATAAATATAATATATATATATGAGAGAATCACCGTAAAATACCTGTATTTTTCTCTGGTCTCAATTTAATACTTATATTTTTTTAATTACTGAATAATACATGTACAATTGGTTTTTCTCCAAATAAATCCTATACTTTTAAATTATTGGTCAAAAAATACCTACCGTTAAATAACTGCCACGTAGACAAACGGAAATCCTACGTGGCGGCGAAATTCTCAACCTATCTCCTAATCATCGCACCATGTCATCGCCACATCAGAAATTAAATAAAAAATAAATAAAAAAATAAATTACTTAATAATAATAATAATTAATTAAATAAATAAAAATTATAAAATAAATAATAAATATATATATACACATACACATATATATACATATATATATACATACGTATATAAATATATACATACACATATATACATATATATACATACATATAAACACACATATATATACCATATATAAATATATATATACATACACATAAATATACATATATATAAATAATAAAAATATACATATACATACACATATACACATACACATATATATACACATGTACATATACATACGTATATAAATATACACATCCACACATATATATACATACACATCAATACACATACACATATATATATACATATATATATATATATAAACGTACATATATATATACATACATACATATACATTCGCATATATATACATATATATTATACATACACATATATATACATATATACATATACATACATATATATACATACATATACATATATATATACATGCTACATATATATACATACATGTATTTATATATATATGTATATATATGTGTTGTATATATATGTATATATATGTATGTGTATGTGTTGTATATGCATGTATATCTATATATATATGTATGTATGCATATGTATATATGTATATATATACATGTATGTATAATGTATATGTATGTATGTATATGTATATATATCTATGTTTATATATATGTATTAATATATATATATATATATAT